TTTTTATCTTGCATTTAAATACTTTTTTGAGAAAAGCATTTTGTATTTTATTTAAAATACTTTTTCAAATGTATTTTCTATTTGTAAAATGTACTAATTGAGAACAACTTTTAGCTTTCTTTTGTTTCTTAGTTTGAAGGTGTAGTACTGTATTTGATTTTAGTCAAAAAATTTTGTCTTGGTGCAAAAGATTAAGCCCGAACGCGCTGTTTCGTTCCCAGACTATCGTGGTATCTGGTGCGTAGTTGTTCATATCATTTGATTCAATCTACCAAGTTCATTTTTTCCAAGAATTGACTTTATTTCATATAATAGCTTGAAATTGCATTCGTTTATTTTAAGTGAGTTAAAGTAATTAAACTCATACACATTCATTTTTGAAGTAATTATCCAATAATATTTTAGACCAACTGGTTTTTCTGTTTGTCACTGTAGTCAATATACATCATGTGGTTATTTAGTTTTTATTTGTTTATTAATAAAAAAGTTTCTGCGTGCAATATCTTGACGGACTATTGAGACATACGTATTTTGTCTAATGATGGTATAATACGTCTTTTAATGGTAACGCGGCGTCGTCAATTTAAAATTTTACTATTTTACTTGATTTTAAGTGATTCAAGTTTTATTTATTTATTTTATTTTGCAGTTGCTTAAGGGGAGAACACCTGGGTGCTATATCATAGGACATATACGTCACATCAGTCCTTTTTCACTCCAACGTGTAATGGTACCTATACTTAACGGAAACATAATAAATGTGCCTTTTTTCCAATGGAATCAGAGGCAGTGTGATGCTGTTGCTAAAGGAAGGATTTATGACAATGAATTGGTAGGTATATATATATATATAACACCATTAATGGAATTCGCAACGTCTTAGACATTTGCAGCCTACTTGAAACAGATGTTTTAAGTATCATTTCAGAAATATCCAAAGTAGAACAGCAAAATTATTAAAGTAGAATTCTCCCAGTATAGATCATTTATGTCAAATATTATTTGTATACTCTAATAGACACTATGAGTATATTCTGACTTTAATAACAAAAGAAAAAGAAGTTCAGGGAAAAGAAATATGAAGATTGGAAAAACTTCGGTGGTTGGTGGCCAAAACACGACACTTTAGTCAAGAAGGTAACTTTTTTACCGAAAAGTGCTTCGGACAACTACAGTGTCGTGTTTTGGCGTTGGGGTTTTGAGCTATTCTGTTTGTTCTTCAGGGAAAAGAATTAAAAAAATTTTAGTAAATATAGTGCGTTCTATTTCATATCTTGTTAATTAGATAGTGTAGTAAATTTGTTTTTTTTTTTGGTCCATTTCTGCAGATTGGCTAACAAATACGAGGCAGTGTAGGTTAATTGCAGTACTAATGAAGCAACCAACATCTACAGTGGGACCGTTTTTCAGGGACAACTTTCTTGAATTACTGTTGACGTCTTTCCTGTACAGCATTATGCAGTTAATTGCCGACAACCAAAAAAATGAGAAGAACTGAAAATTTGTTTAGACCTTTCTCAAACAACCATTTATCTACCACGGTATCGCTCTTCCCGGATTCTCTTTGCTTTTCACATTTGTAAACTTTGGAGTAACATTCTGCAAATAATTAAGGTAATTATTAATATTAACTGCTCCTTAATAATCTGTTACAGATCTGTTTTATAGTCATGGTCAAAGACTTCTTCAGGGCTGAAAACATCACAGAATATATACAAGAAACCAATGATAAAAAAGGACATTTCTAATATTATACGTACAGTTATAGAAAATAATTTTTTGTAGGTGTTGAAGTCCTTTACTTTCACCCTTGACTAATAATCTAATTATTTTTTTAGTAATTACTTACCTATTATAAAAACTTTTTCTATATAAGACAACTATCATATACTTTAAAAGCTTGTCCTATTTATCATTGATAGTTCTGGGGAAGAATCAATAAATGTATCTATTAGTCTTTGTCGTATCCCATGTAGGAACCAGGGATNATTTAAAATACTTTTCCAAATGTATTTTCTATTTGTAAAATGCAAAATACATTTTTGCCTTTAAAAGCTTTGCTAGTATCACCGATCAAACATTATATAAAATGATGAATAAAAGTTGCTCACTTTGACTATTGAAGGTATTAGAGAACCCAAAAAATTCTAAACTCCTTGGAAATGGATAATCTAAAACATTGAATTGGATCGATATTATTTTCCGGGTTCAATGTCAAGGTCCATGGAATTTTGAAGTTCCAAATTGATAAAAACTTAAAACTACAATATATTGAGGTGTGCTAATAAATGCATATAATCCAAAATTCTTAGAAAAATATTCGAAAAACATCACTTATTAGATGACCCCAAAGTTAAAGAAACTATGGATTCTATTTATTTCTCTTATTACAATATGTAAAAGATCAGAAACAGAATGGGGTTGTAAGTATTTTGATATAAACTGATTGATGTTGATTTTACATTAATCAATTATTTGTAATCGTATTTTGGCTCTCATCTTTCACGCTTAGCAAACTATTTTGTCATCAGTGTCTATTTTCCAATTAAAACGGGTGAAAAAGGTAAATAAGGAAGCACATAGAAAAATATTTGTTGCTGAACTGAACTATAACATAAAGATAGAAAAACTATACCTCATTCTTAATCTGCGCAGTTGGTGATATAGTGGAAATACCACTGTTAGTCTAGGAAAACTCCATTATTTAAAAAATGAGCAAATGCCTGCAAGATTTTCTTAAAAAATATTTTCAACTTAAGTAAATTTAGAAAATTAAATAGATACTACAAAAAAGTATTCAATTGAAAAAAGTATTTTGAAAATACGTATTTTGCATTTAGAATTTAAAATACAAAAGGGAAATCTATTTTGTATTTTACATTTGAAATAACCAATCAAAAAAGTATTTGCATTTTATATTTAGAAAATCATTTTGCACATCTCTAGTAGAAACTGCCAGAGTTGACAATCGTGTGAATTTTGGCTCAACATTTGGTTGTCCAACTTTGGCTGTACAGAGTTCATCGAAGGTTGGACGAAGTTAAACATACAATTGACCTACCAAGAACTGGTAATTTTCTCTGTCCCAGCTCTGGATTAAAGTTGGCTGTATTACCTTCGGGATTAATCGACATAAATTGACCGGGGACTTATTTTCTGTACTTAAATTCAAATTAAATGATATCTAGAATGATTAAATAAATATTGCAATCAATATTTTATTTTTTATTAATTAA